TTGTAAGATATTTGTTGTTTTACATTTCTAATTGATCTCGTTAGACCGTCATAAAACAATTTATAGTAACAGAACTTATTGGAATGCATCAAACTGACAAGTTGTCACAGCAAGCTAAGATGGTCAGATAGGGGAAACTGAGAAGAAAAAAATCTAGACAAAATCAAATAAAAATCATATTAAACGTAAAAACCACGAAGAGCCACTGGTCTGACAAGTGTTTTAAACTGGTCTGAGTTGTATTTCAAACTGGTCCGAGCTGTCTTTAAAAGTGGTCCGGCTTATCTTTAAATTGGCCCGAGATTTCACCTCAGGCTGCTAAGAAGCCATTTTTACCGATATTTCGTTGAAACCCGTTGTTCAACTATAGAAAAACAACATAGGAGTTAGTCTTTGTTTTGAACCGACGGTTTATATTTACATTTTGAAACGACCCAAAATTTAAATGCTACCTGTAAGTGTAATTGTAGTCCTAATCGTAGGTGTATAACAGTTTCCGCAAATGTCTATTAGACGGTAGTTTCCGCAAATGTCTATTAGCAGTAACTCAGCTCAGGCATGATGTAAAGAGTGCAAATCAAATAAGTTTAGACATGACAAGTGTGGTTAAAAAACCTCATGTAGTAAGTAACAAGTATGGTTAAAAAAAACTCATCTAGAAAGTAAAGAGTATGGTTAAAATTATCATGTGGTGACGAGTATGGTTAAAAAAAACTCATCTAGAAAGTAACGTGTATGGTTGAAATTATCATGTGGTGACGAGTAAAGTTAAAATGTCGTGTGGTGACGAGTATGGTTAAAATATCGTGTAGTGACGAGTATTGCTAAAATAATCATTTGCTGACGAATATGGTTAAAATACCACGTGGTGACGAGTATGGTTAAAATATCGAGTGGTGACGAGTATTTATAAAATAATCATTTGGTGATAAATATGGTTAACATATCGTGTGGTGACGAATATGGTTAAAATATCGAGTGGTGACGAGTATTGCTAAAATAATCATTTGGTGACGAATATGGTTAAAATATCGTGTGGTGACGAATATGGTTGAAATATCGAGTGGTGACGAGTATTGCTAAAATAATCATTTGGTGACGAATATGGTTAAAATATCGAGTGGTGAATAGTATTGCTAAAATACTCATTTGGTGACGAGTATGACTCAAATATCCGTGTGGCGACGACTGTTGCTAAAATACTCTGTAGTGACGATACTTGTTAAACACCCGTGTAATGACGAGCATTGTTAGAATTTTCATGCAGTGACAACTATTTCTTAGATACTCACGTAGTATCTATGATCATTTAAATACCCGTACAGTGACGAATTTTGCTTAACTTCTTATGTAGTGACGACTTTTGCTAAAATACTCATTTGGTGACGAATTAGGCTTATATACCCGTGTGGTGACGATTATTGCTAAACTAACAGCGAGGAGTACGGATTAAATACTCATGCAGTGATGATTTCGGTTTAAATACTCATGCAGTGAGGTATACGGTTTAGAAACTCATGGAATGAGGAGTACGGTTTGAATACTCATGCAGTGAGAAGTAAGGTTTAAATACTCATGCAGTGAGGAGTAGGGTTTAAATACTCATGCAATGAGAAGTAAGGTTTAAATACTCGTGCAGTGATGATTTCGGTTTAAATACTCATGCAGTGAGGTATACGGTTTAGAAACTCATGCAATGAGCAGTACGGTTTGAATACTCATACAGTGAGAAGTAGGGTTTAAATACTCATGCAGTGAGGAGTAAATACTCATGCAATGAGAAGTAAGGTTTAAATACTCATGCAGCGAGGAATACATTTTAAATACTCATGCAGTGAGGAATACATTTTAAATACTCATGCAGTGAGGAGTACGGTTTAAATACTCATGCAGTGAGGTATCCGGCTTAGATACTCATGCAGTGAGGAGTACGGTTTAAATACTCATGCAGTGAAAAGTACGGTTTAAATACTTATGCAAATAGGACTACGGTTAACATTCTCATGCAGTGAAGAAGTATTCTTATCATACCATGTTTTGAGGAGTACGGTTAAAATACTAATGTCATGACGAGTTTGGTAAACATATTCTTGTAGTGTAGAATGCGGTTACCTAATGTTGCAGAGGCCAGAACGGTTAACATACTCATGCAGTGACGAGTATGCTTATCATACCATGGTGTGGGGAAGTAGGGTTAAAATACTAATGTCATGACGATTATGGTTAACATATTCTTGTAGTGTAGAATGCGGTTACCTAATGTTGCAGAGGCCAGAACGGTTAACATAATCATGCAGTGACGAGTATGGTAAACATATTCTTGTAGTGTAGAATGCGGTTACCTAATGTTGCAGAGGCCAGAACGGTTAACATAATCATGCAGTGACGATTATGGTAAACATATTCTTGTAGTGTAGAATGCGGTTACCTAATGTTGCAGAGGCCAGAACGGTTAACATACTCATGTCATGACGAGTATGGTAAGCATATTCTTGTAGTGTAGAATGCGGTTACCTAATGTTGTAGTGGCCAGAACGGTTAACATACTCATGCAGTGACGAGTATGCTTATCATTCCATGTTGGGGGGAAGTAGGGTTAAAATACTCATGTCATGCCACGTATGCTAAACATACTCATATAGTGAAAAGTATGGTTAACATACTATTGTAGTGACCAGTACGGTTAAAATACTCAAGTAGTGGCCGGTTCGCGGTTAAAATAATTTTCCAGTGGAAAGTAAGACTAAAATACTCATGTAATGACGAGTGTGGTAAAAATACACTTTCAGAGAAGAGTACGGATAATATACTCATGTAGTGACGAGTAGTTACAATACTCGTATAGTGACGAGTATGGTTGATACTCGTTTAGTGACGAGACGAATGCTGTTAAAACTGTCGTACAGTAAGTACAGACAAAATACTCCTTTACTTAGTACTCAAGGTGCACGATTTGTTCTTGAAACACCAAATTCAATATTTTGATTGGTTACATTCTGATTCTGAGGACGATAATCGCACTCGAAATTTTTATAACCGCAAAGTCTGTGTCGACGACTATGGTTGAAATACTAATGTGAGTGAGGAGTACAGTAAAAGTCTTATGTGCAGTGAAGACCACGAGAAGTTCATACATTTTTTTGTACGTAACACTCTAGTTACGATCATTCATCATTTAAAACTTTTAAACGATATTTTCCTATTTTTTGAACTTTTTGAGGTTAAGTTCCCATGGCAATTAGAACAGAGAGGTCAACATTTTTAGAAGGTTTAAGATAATGAGTTACCCCAAAACTCTTGGTTTTTATTAGATGTTATATTAGTTCCCCTAAAACTCTTGGTTTTTATTAGATGTTATATAAGTTCCCCCAAAACTCTTGGTTTTTGTTAGATGTTATATTAGTTCCCCCAAAACTCTTGGTTTTTATTAGATGTTATATTAGGTGATGAGGTATTGGATTCCCTTCAAAGAAAACTCGTTTTGATGCGGTGTTGGCCAAGGTAATGAACTGCCTTTAACCAACAAATTTAGATACGGCGTTGGCCAAGGTAATGAACTGCCTTTAACCAAAAAATCTTTAGATACGGCGTTGACCAAGGTAATGAACTGCCTTTAACCAAAAAATCTTTAGATACGGCGTTGGCCAAGGTAATGAACTGCCTTTAACCCACAAATCTTTTGATGCGGCGTTGGCCAAGGTAATGAACTGCCTTTAACCAACAAATCTTTAGATACGGCGTTGGCCAAGGTAATGAACTGCCTTTAACCAACAAATCTTTAGATGCGGCGTTGGCCAAGGTAATGAACTGCCTTTAACCAACAAATCTTTAGATGCGGCGTTGGCCAAGGTAATGAACTGCCTTTAACCAACAAATCTTTAGATACGGCGTTGGCCAAGGTAATGAACTGCCTTTAACCAACAAATCTTTAGATACGGCGTTGGCCAAGGTAATGAACTGCCTTTAACCAACAAATCTTTAGATACGGCGTTGGCCAAGGTAATGAACTGCCTTTAACCAACAAATCTTTAGATGCGGCGTTGGCCAAGGTAATGAACTGTCTTTAACCAACAAATCTTTAGATGCGGCGTTGGCCAAGGTAATGAACTGCCTTTAACCAACAAATCTTTAGATACGGCGTTGGCCAAGGTTATGAACTGCCTTTAACCAACAAATCTTTAGAAACGGCGTTGGCCAAGGTAATGAACTGCCTTTAACCAACAAACCTTTAGATACGGCGTTGGCCAAGGTGATGAACTGCCTTTAACCAACAAATCTTTAGATACGGCGTTGGCCAAGGTAATGAACTGCCTTTAACCAACAAATCTTTAGATACGGCGTTGGCCAAGGTAATGAACTGCCTTTAACCAACAAATCTTTTGATACTCAAGCAATCTGAAAATTCTAAGCTTGGTTTTATTCAAAAGTAATTATTTTTAAAAAATAAAGACGAATTGTTCTTCATCTTACATACAAAACCACGAACGACATAATTCTGTTATATTAGGACATTCCCAAGAGAGTATATATTGGCATTAAGTAACGGTTGTCTATAATCTGGTAGATATATTACATCGAATGATTTTAGGATTAAGTCATGTTTCAGACTTACTATGTCAAGCTGAGAATGACAATGGTAAAGTAAACAAAACTGTCATGTTCAAATGTTCTTCAATAATAAGTGTAACAGTCTAACTAACGTCATTGTAAATATCGCATAAACTAACACGTAAAGGGGAAATCTCTTTCATTATCAAAAATATTTAAATCTTCAATATAATAGATGTAATGTTTTGGTAAAATATTTCATCTTCATTTTGTAAAGACCTTCCTTCATTAAGATTCAAGTTGGGGTTTTGCTATTAAATTTATATTTGCAATGAATAAATCTGCACTTAATGCTTACTGTGGATTTTTAAAAATATTATTCTAAATAATAAACTTTCTATGTGTTTAGTGTAATATACTGCACCCATGTCAATGCATAACAACATACTTACAGTATTAATCCCCCTTCTCGAAATCGAATAATCCAATGAAATTCACAAAGCACATAAGTAAAAAAAAATGCGATGTCATACGCAGTTGATGAGAAAGCTAACCTGGTTGGCTGGTGAAATGCCAAAACACATCATAATAATTCACAAATTATTTTATATACATTTTGTTGTTATAAACATGTCATATTATTTAACATAAAACCGTTGAGCCCTGACTTATTTACATCGTGGGCTTTGTCCTTTCATCCTTTGTATATACTTCCTACATTTTACTTAAAACCTTTTATCAATTAAATTTGAAATATTTGATTCAATAATCATACAGTTCTATTGAAGCAATGGACCAGAACTTTCTTTATTCAGCCGCTATATACCTGACCGTTTTGTGATATTTATTTTTCCAATCTGTATAAACCTCACATCTTCTATATCATAAACTTTATGTAAAAAATTATACTTAAATGTTATACACTGTATGGATATCAAATAATTTATAATTGCACAAAAAGTTGTTCAAATGTTTAAAGTGTTTCAACAAACTGTATTAAAAATCTTTTTTTTTTGTATTAAATCGTAGCAACTTTTCCCACGGTGTTGTAACCACATACAAGGTATTTAAAATATAAAATATGAGAAGCGCACCTGTCGAAATCCTAGAAGCTGATTGGTCTGACAGTTTTAACGTAGATTGTCGCACATACCGGTATCTTTTGCTAAATAGGACCATTTGATATAATTATTTTTCAGATTTGTTTAGAAAAAAGTGAACATTTAAAGTAAGATATGAAATGAATAAATTACTAGTATATACTCAGAGATATTAATGGACTTGTGATACTAGTCAAAGGCTAATTCTGAAAAAGGGGGAAAGGGGGGGGGGTTAGCTTGTCGTTTTTTTTTGTTCCAGTATGGTGTAGTAGCTGCTTGGTATTGTGGTATGGAATATAAGGTAGCCGTTGGCGTTATGGTATGGTAGATAATGTAGCTGCTTGGTGTTGCGGTATGGTAAATAAGGTTGGCGCTATGGTATGGTAGATAAGTAATCTGTTGGTGTTGTGGTTTTTTGTGAGTTAGGTAGCTGTTGGGTGTTGCTTGTCGTTTTTTGTGTCAGTATGGTATAGTAGCTGCTTGGTATTGTAGTATGGAATATAAGGTAGCCGTTGGCGCTATGGTATGGTAGCTAATGTAGCTGCTTGGTGTTGTGGTATGGTAGATAAGGTTGGCGTTATGGTATGATAGATAAGTAATCTGTTTGTGTTGTGGGTTTTTGTCAGTAAGATAGCTGTTGGGTGTTGTGTTATGGTAGATAATGTAGCTGTTGGTGTTGTGATATAACAGATAAGGTAGCCGTAGCAGTTGTGGTATGGTAGACAAGGTAGCTGTTGGTGTTGTGATATGGCAGATAAGTTAGATGTTTGTGCTGTGGTAGGATAGATAAGTAATCTGTTTGTGTTGTGGTAGGATAGATAAGTAATCTGTTTGTGTTGTGGTAGGATAGATAAGTAATCTGTTTGTGTTGTGGTAGGATAGATAAGTAATCTGTTTGTGTTGTGGTAGGATAGATAAGTAATCTGTTGGTGTTGTAGTAGGATAGATTAGTAATCTGTTGGTGTTGTGGTTTTTGGTCAGTAAGATAGCTGTTGGGTGTGGTGGTATGGTGGATAATGAAGCTGTTGGTGTTGTGATATAACAGATAAGGTAGCCGTTGGTGTTATGATATGGTAGATAAGTAATCTGTTGGTGTTGTGGTTTTTGGTCAGTAAGATAGCCGATGGTGTGTTTTATGTTAGATAAGTTAACCGTATGTGTTGTGGTATAGTAGGTAAGTTAGCCGTAGATGTTATGGTATGGTGGATAAGATAGCCGTTGGCGTTATGGTACATGTATGGTAGATGATGAAGCCATTGGTGTTGTGATAGGGTAGGTAAGTTAGCCGTAGATGTTATGGTATGGTGGATAAGATAGCCGTTGGCGTTATGGTACATGTATGGTAGATGATGAAGCCATTGGTGTTGTGATAGGGTAGATAAGATAGCCGTTGGCGTTCTGGTACATGTATGATAGATGATGAAGCCATTGGTGTTGTGATAGGGTAGATAAGATAGCCGTTGGCGTTATGGTACATGTATGGTAGATGGTGAAGCCATTGGTGTTGTGATAGGGTAAATAGGATAGCCATTGGCGTTATAGTACATGTATGGTAGATGATGAAGCCATTGGTGTTGTGATAGGGTAGATAAGTTAGCCGTTGGCGTTATGGTACATGTATGGTAGATGATGAAGCCATTGGTGTTGTGATAGGGTAGATAAGATAGCCGTTGGCGTTATGGTACATGTATGGTAGATGGTGAAGCCATTGGCGTTGTGATAGGGTAGATAAGATAGCCGTTGGCGTTATGGTACATGTATGGTAGATGATGAAGCCATTGGTGTTGTGATAGGGTAGATAAGTTAGCCGTTGACGTTATGGTACATGTATGGTAGATGATGAAGCCATTGGTGTTGTGATAGGGTAGATAAGATAGCCGTTGGCGTTATGGTACATGTATGGTAGATGATGAAGCCATTGGTGTTGTGATAGGGTAGATAAGATATCCGTTGGCGTTATGGTACATGTATGGTAGATGATGAAGCCATTGGTGTTGTGATAGGGTAGATAAGTTAACCGTATGTGTTGTGGTATAGTAGGTAAGTTAGCCGTAGGTTATGGTATGGTGGATAAGATAGCCGTTGGCGTTATGGTAAATGTATGGTAGATGATGAAGCCATTGGTGTTGTGATAGGGTAGATAAGTTAACCGTATGTGTTGTGGTATAGTAGGTAAGTTAGCCGTAGGTTATGGTATGGTGAATAAGATAGCCGTTGGCGTTATGGTACATGTATGGTAGATGATGAAGCCATTGGTGTTGTGATAGGGTAGATAAGATAGCCGTTGACGTTATGGTACATGTATGGTAGATGATGAAGCCATTGGTGTTGTGATAGGGTAGATAAGTTAACCGTATGTGTTGCGGTATAGTAGGTAAGTTAGCCGTAGGTTATGGTATGGTGAATAAGATAGCCGTTGGCGTTATGGTACATGTATGGTAGATGATGAAGCCATTGGTGTTGTGATAGGGTAAATAAGTTAGCCGTTGACGTTATGGTACATGTATGGTAGATGATGAAGCCATTGGTGTTGTAATAGGGTAGATAAGTTAGCCATTGACGTTATGGTACATGTATGGTAGATGATGAAGCCATTGGTGTTGTGATAGGGTAGATAAGATAGCCGTTGGCGTTATGGTACATGTATGGTAGATGATGAAGCCATTGGTGTTGTGATAGGGTAGATAAGTTAGCCGTTGGCGTTATGGTACATGTATGGTAGATGATGAAGCCATTGGTGTTGTGATAGGGTAGATAAGATAGCCGTTGGCGTTATGGTACATGTATGGTAGATGATGAAGCCATTGGTGTTGTGATAGGGTAGATAAGATAGCCGTTGGCGTAATGGTACATGTATGGTAGATGATGAAGCCATTGGTGTTGTGGTAGGGTAGATAAGATAGCCGTAGATGTTATGGTATGGTAGTTAAAATAGCCGTTGGCGTTATGGTACATGTATGGTAGATGATGAAGCCATTGGTGTTGTGATAGGGTAGATAAGATAGCCGTTGGCGTAATGGTACATGTATGGTAGATGATGAAGCCATTGGTTTTGTGATAGGGTAGATAAGATAGCCGTTGTCGTAATGGTACATGTATGGTAGATGATGAAGCCATTGGTGTTGTGATAGGGTAGATAAGATAGCCGTTGGCGTTATGGTACATGTATGGTATATGATGAAGCCATTGGTGTTGTGATAGGGTAGATAAGATAGCCATTGGCGTTATGGTACATGTATGGTAGATGATGAAGCTATTGGTGTTGTGATAGGTTAGTTAAGTTAACCGTATGTGTTGTGGTATAGTAGGTATGTTAGCCGTAGGTTATGGTATGGTGGATAAGATAGCCGTTGGCGTTATGGTACATGTATGGTAGATGATGAAGCCATTGGTGTTGTGATAGGTTATTTAAGTTAACCGTATGTGTTGTGGTATAGTAGGTATGTTAGCCGTAGGTTATGGTATGGTGGATAAGATAGCCGTTGGCGTTATGGTACATGTATGGTAGATGATGAAGCCATTGGTGTTGTGATAGGGTAGATAAGATAGCCGTTGGCGTTATGGTACATGTATGGTAGATGATGAAGCCATTGGTGTTGTGATAGGGTAGGTAAGTTAGCCGTAGGTTATGGTATGGTGGATAAGATAGCCGTTGGCGTTATGGTACATGTATGGTAGATCATGAAGCCATTGGTGTTGTGATAGGGTATAAGATAGCCGTTGGCGTTATGGTACATGTATGGTAGATGATGAAGCCATTGGTGTTGTGATAGGGTAGATAAGTTAGCCGTTGGCGTTATGGTACATGTACGGTAGATGATGAAGCCATTGGCGTTGTGATAGGGTAGATAAGTTAGCCGTTGGCGTTATGGTACATGTATGGTAGATGATGAAGCCATTGGTGTTGTGAAAGGGGTAGATAAGTTAGCCGTTGGCGTTATGGTACATGTATGGTAGATGGTGAAGCCATTGGTGTTGTGATAGGGTAGATAAGTTAGCCGTTGGCGTTATGGTACATGTATGGTATATGATGAAGCCATTGGTGTTGTGATAGGGTAGATAAGTTAGCCGTTGGCGTTATGGTACATGTATGGTATATGATGAAGCCATTGGTGTTGTGATAGGGTAGATAAGTTAGCCGTAGATGTTATGGTATGGTAGTTAAAATAGCCGTTGGCGTTATGGTACATGTATGGTATATGATGAAGCCATTGGTGTTGTGATAGGGTAGATAAGTTAGCCGTTGGCGTTCTGGTACATGTATGATAGATGATGAAGCCATTGGTGTTGTGATAGGGTAGATAAGATAGCCGTTGACGTTATGGTACATGTATGATAGATGATGAAGCCATTGGTGTTGTGATAGGGTAGATAAGATAGCCGTTGGCGTTATGGTACATGTATGGTAGATGATGAAGCCATTGGTGTTGTGATAGGGTAGATAAGATAGCCGTTGGCGTTATGGTAAATGTATGGTAGATGATGAAGCCATTGGTGTTGTGATAGGGTAGATAAGTTAGCCGTTGGCGTTCTGGTACATGTATGATAGATGATGAAGCCATTGGTGTTGTGATAGGGTAGATAAGATAGCCGTTGACGTTATGGTACATGTATGATAGATGATGAAGCCATTGGTGTTGTGATAGGGTAGATAAGATAGCCGTTGGCGTTATGGTACATGTATGGTAGATGATGAA